TGTTTATATGAGATCTTTAATGGACAAATTAAGAGAAATGCAAATACAAATCTTTATTTATTTACTTTATTTTAATATTTTTTTCTGTAGTATAATGTGGAACATCTGTCAGATATAGATTGTACCTTTGGTTCTGATGATTTTTAGTTGGTAAAGCACATTTCATTAAATATAAAATATTTCGATAACTCAGATTATATCTAATTGTACTGATGTTCTTATATTTAATATAAACACATCATTTGTACTATTGACTGTTTGAGTTACACTACTTTCCTCGAAGTTTTGATTAGGCCACATGTAACCATAGTATCACTGGTGAAGTCTACCCAATCAGTTCTTTGAACATGTTTTTCTAAACAATTTATGGACCAAATTAACTATAAGTCCATGACTTCATTAGATACAGGGTCCCTAATAATGTACGAGTCACACAAAAACGTAAACAAAAATGATATTAATAGTGCAATCAACTCCACTAATTACTGTTAGAGTATGCTGTACACTTTACATAAGAAATGAGCATTCTTCACCAATTATTTTTAATAATTTCTTTACAGCGAAAGTCGTAACAAGCAGACACATGAAATTACTCAGTATGATGCAGTTTGTGGAGTTCATCAGTAATGAATAATATAAAAACAAGTCTGTAATTTGAGGATTAAAACAGTCTTTACAAATTCAGTTTAGACTCCTTTTTTTCACTCTCTCTCTCTCCTCTTGTTTAGGTAAAGTGTCTTGATGGGTTTGTTGAACAACAAACTAGGTTAGTTGTTATTTTCGATGGCTTAGATAGCTGTGAACAAGAGAAGGTTTTACGGGTTTTGGATGCCGTCCACTTATTGTTTTCGGATGTAAATGCTCCCTTCGTTGTTATTCTTGCCATTGACCCTCACATCATAGTAAAGGTAGGTACATTATATATGTATATAAATATGAACTTCCCGTATTTAAATTAGATATTATGTTGATTATTTCAGTGTTTAAAGAGATTTAGAAAAAAAAAGGATCTAAGAATCAAATTATTTCCATTTTTAATAAGGTTATATTAAATTTTGTGCCCATTTTAGTGACAAATAACTTGCTATCAAATATTTAAAAAAAATATACAAATGGTGACTAGGACGCTCAGATTGCAATCTGCAGGTCTTGGTTTCAAATACCCATCACCAAAAACGAAATCATCCTCTAGGGTTGCTGTCGGGGCAACCCACCCGAATGTAAAAGTTCATGACTAATACAAAATACCCGGGTGGCCATCCCCACACTTAGAGGGGATTAAAGTCGTATGTAGAAAAAAACTTTTCAAAATAACAAACAAATGGGGAAACTCGTTAAATAAAATTATTTAATCCACACTAACTTAAATCCAAGATTGTACTGAAATAAACTACTATAGGAGAGAAGTGGTTACTTGACACATAATATTTTTCTGAATTTAACACTTATATGAAGTCTGCTTCAATATTTGAACACTAGCTAAGAAAGTGAAGTCATGAATTAAGAACATTTTTCAAGTTTATAGTGAATACATCAGCTTTGTGCTATCACTTTTTTTTAGGAAGTGATTTAATAATTTTTCAGATGACAGATAAAAACATTTTCTCCTAATTTCAGGGTTAACAATGACTGGATCAATAACACTGTTATAGTCTATGATGTACTTTGTTTTGTAAGTTTTTAGATGTATGAAAAATGAGCTATTTAACATATACTTATATAATTCCTCAAAGGTTTTTTCTTCTAAATATTCTATTTTTGTGAAGTAAATAATTGTGCTTGGAAAGTGTTTAGATTGATGCGAAGGTAACACCTCACTATTAGTTATTTCTCAAATATTTTGCACCATATGTAAATGAGACTTGATTTGATTGGTACGTTGACATGACATGTGATGTGAAGCCAATCAGGTAAAACTTAAGGTACTGCCTTTAATGGCAGGTGTTCCATCACATTTCATGGATGATACAATTCTACTTTTTCCAAAGCACAGCTGATCGGAGGGCTCAGCTACACAAGGCATCACTTGGAGCATTACATGTGTTGACAAACAAGATTACGTCCGGTGTGACCGTATTACAAACATAAAGACTTATACGTGTTTCATATTCATAAAAAAATGTTGTAGAATATAAAAAAAAATTTAGAATTTTAAGACATGTATTGCGTACATAGATGGCACACCACTGAAACACATACAAATGCATTATATTAAAAATCAATCAATCAAACGTACTGAGGTTGTAATGGATTGATAACTTTAAAAATATTCTTCCTGAGAAACAACACAATCCAAAACATGACAATTAAATTATAATTCCTAGTAGGTTTTAAATCAAGTTAGAATAAACAAAATCAGAATTACTGCCATAAAAGTGTTTTTTATTTGAAAACAGGCCTTTGTTCAATGAAAAACAATCCATTTAATTTGTAATATTTCTTCTTGCTCAACCGAGCTCGGTGATTTTAGAGTTGCTTTTGTGCAGTCTCATTTCCTTAATTAATCTCTATATTGCACATTGACATAGAAGATTTCATTTGAAAAATACGTTGTTTGTGCAAAAAATACTGTATATTTATGCTGTGAATTATCCAAGTGTGTCAAGAATAAATATCAATTTATAATTGTTAGACAGTAAAAGCACTCTTTAATAGATGGTGTTAATATGTTATTAGTTAGTAGGGTCTAATATACATCAATATTTTGGAAAGATAATAATTTTTGTATTTTTTAATAATTAAGGCTATAGAATCCAACATACACCGCATTTTTCGGAATTCCAACATTCGAGGGCCCGATTATCTTCGTAACATAGTACACCTTCCCTTCTACTTACAAAACAGTGGGCTACGAAGAGTGCGTGCAGCACAACAGACAGCTGCCATCACTGCTAAACGTTCCACCAGCTATTGGAATGAAGAGAAAGAATGCGATCGAGCAGCAACAACTATGGTCAGTTGTTTTGAAACAGTTACTGGCTATATCAATGTTAATACTATGTGCTGGTAGTATCCCACTGATAGGCTTAAGTTTGTAGATTGTTCATATCTTCTTTCTGTTTATTGATAAACTATAGAAATATTTAGCTTTTTATTTTAATGGGAAATGTAACATTAATACTTTTAACTTTTGTTACATATATACGAAACTCTTCATTTATGGAAAAATAAACAAATAAGTATAGTGAGAATAAAAAAACGCATACGTAAAATATACACACAAGTCCCATCAGTAATAGTGAGATTAACTGCATATGTAAAATATACACAAGTCCCATCAGTAATTAGTGAGATTAACTGCAAATGTAAAATACACACAAGTCCCATCAGTAATTAGTGAGAATAATTGCAATATTGATGTTATTTTTCTTCAAGTTTTTTTAGTGAATCACCTGTTATTGAAACTCTGAATTAAGCCAATAAATTCCTGGACTCTGAAGTCATTTGGTGCATAAATAGTAGAGAAAATTAATTCAAAAATTAACAGAGACAGAGACCCTTCATTGGTAATTCTAGGGGTAACATAGAGTAATTTGAAGCCTATGATAATATGTGGATATACCAACAGTAGGAGTTAATCGAAAAATAAACAAATAAGTATAGTGAGAATAAAAAAACTGAAGAGTTTCGTATATATGTAACAAAAGTTAAAAGTATTAATGTTACATTTCCCA